ATATTATACCATATAAGTTATATCTTTGAAGCATGTCATGAAAGTTGGGAATTATTTCCCACGATCAAACAAAAAGAATAAATCTGAAAACAAAGATGTTAGTATGCAACATAATCTATAACAAAAAATAATAATAATAAATTCAACAATTGAATAAGGAATAAACTGAAAAAAAAAAAAAAGACAATGACAAGCAAAAGTAGCTGCTAGCTGATTCCATGTCCCATAATGTTCAAATCATTCAATATGACAATTGAGGAATCTTGCACACCTCAAATTTGGCGCTTCATACCCTGAAAGAGAGATTAAACAGATGTAAGAACAAATTAATCATGAACAATCATACATTGCTCCAAGATTATGAAATTTATTGTAACAGTGGCCACAGACCATATATATATATATATGATATAATAAAAGAGATTTTCTTGTTATAAAAAGAGAGAACGTGGCGAGAAATTACAAAACATGCCAGGAGTCAATGGGTTAAAAATCAAATGGAGATAAAAGGGTAAAGATGTGGCCACCCATAAGTTCACTAGCCTGACTTAAATTCCTCTAGCAAAAAAGGATAGCTCGGAGGATAAGCAAAGAACACACTGCATGGAAAGCATTCAGATTGGTTTTTGCCTTTTTTGGCCGAATTCACAGGGTTGAATGGATCACTAGAGTGGTTACCAGACCACTGTGTTCTCCTACCAGCCCAACTCCAAATTTGGTACACAACCCAAAAAAAAAAGATCCAGTCACATTAAAGGGCTTTGTTGGTGACAAGTTGTTAGAAAAAGGATTACTCCCTTAACCAAATCAATTATCCTAAACAAAGTGTCAGAATTTAAGAATTTTGTAAAGTAGAATTTGCCCTGATTTATCACTTCCAAATTGTATTTAGAGAATTGATAGATCCACAGGTCCTATGTAGGAAGTTAGCAAATACAATCAATGATCTGGTAAATTATGGAGGTAGGGAATAAAAATGAAAATGAGAAGATAGAAAATTACGAAAGAGGGAACACAGAGACTGATTGATAAAATAGAAAATCAATTAAAAACAGGTAAGTAATTCTTTTAAAACAATCATTAACAGTTAAAGGCTACATATTCAATCACTGAAAGCAATTCTGAAATTACATTAATCATCCATTAGCCACCTAACACGATGAGAACAAATATCACTGATCCATAATTTCCTTTGCATGTTAAAATTAATTAAAAAAATAGTTGTTTGATCAGAAATGTTATCAGTTGGCTAGTTATTAGTTATAGTAAAAATCACAAACTGCCCTTTAATTGATCTTTCTAATAGCTTAATTACTGAATGCTTAATTCATACAACATTAATTAACAAAATAATAATAATAATAACATCAAACTTAAGAAGGAATTTATCAATAAGTTAACCTGCTTTAAAAAAAATTTAATCATGTATTCGAAACCTTATTGCTTAACAGAACACAATATTATAATCAACAGAATAAATACTATTTAATCTCTTTATACATGATCATATCCAGTTGCTTGTGGAATATATGCACAATAACAAAAAATAAAACAGAATTAGCACAAAAAACACACAAATATGTTATACGGGCTCACCCACTACCCACTGTTACCATCATCACTGTAGATTTCACTATGCGTTCTTTTTTATTTTAAGAGATTACTACCCCAAATTCTACTACAGCATTAAATGGTATTAGGCTCCACAATTTCTGCAACAATATTCGTTAACCCACCAATTCCGCAAATAATTTTAAGAAATTACCACAGAAAACCCGTATTAACCACAAAAGAAAGTTCTCAAGCTAAAACAACAAGAGATTAGCAGTATTACATAAAATTCAAGTTCAAGTAAATTTGTCTAAACCAAACATTCTCAAATAAGCGTTAGGTTAAAGCAAAAGGGCTCACCGAAAACATCGGCGACGAGAAGAATCGCGCCCTTGGAATCAGAGGAGCCGGCGATGTAGGCCTTGAGTCCTCCAAAACTTTCCACGACGCCACCTTCGCCGTAGGATGAGCTCAGAGCTGGGGGGTTCTGGCAGCACTCGGAGCTTGCCATGCTGAATTCCACGAGCTTTTCTTCTGCTGCAAGCTTAGTGGGTTTGTTGCCGATAACTGGAACGAAGGCCAGATGGTCCGGCGCGGGTATTATATAGCGAGTGAATCCAAAAGTGTGAAAATAGTCTCTTATTATTTTAAAATTGAGATTTAATAATTTTTTGTGAGATTTATTTCAATTTTAATTTAAACATTTAAGAGATTATTTTAATAATTTAGAATTTTTTAATTAAAATATTCGCTTATTTTTGAAATTTTTTGGGCCCCACCGTGGCCATATTATATGAACAAATATTAAGAAAAACATTTACAGGCATAAAATATAAATTTTATGTATTTATATATCAAACATTTAAATGTAAATTTTTACTCATATCTATTCTTACAGTATTTAAAAAGAAAGTACAACATTCGTACATAAAAAACAAATTGTTATTAGATATGTTAATACATATGACAATTAAATTTGTTTATTTAATAATGTATTTAATTTAAAAGAAACTTCAAAATACTTATTGATACTTGTTAGAAAATTTATTACAGTAAGGTAATGGATTTCAGTTATAGCGTTGCACGAGAATTCAACATATTCTCAGTTGAAAGAAAATAATCAATGATAATAGTAGAAGTTTTACATTAAAAACCCGCAAAAAATAAAAAAATAATAATAAAAATTATAAAAGATTGTGGGGTTTGACTCATGTAAGAATTTGTTATATGTTGGTGATTACAGAAACTATTTATCTTACTTATAAGAAAGGGTTATTGGGTTTTTCAAGTTACTATGTCAACTGATAGCTCCAATTTGGTGGTGGTCGACGGTGATTGGTGGTGATTGACGTTGGTTAGCGGTTGACGACGATCGGTGGTGGTTGATAGCGACAGCAGTGCTTGACGGCGATCGGTGGTTATCGACGGCAGTCGGCAGTGAATGACGATGATCAACAGGGGTCGACGTGTGTCGACGACAGCTGGCGATGGTCGAAAGTGGCTGGCGGCGATCGACGATGACAGAGGTGGTATTGTACTTCAGTTTATTTTCAAAAATTTAAGTTCTCTCAAGTTTTGAGCCCCCCTTTATGAGAGAGGCAAAACTCTATTTTATAGTGTTATTTATGCAATTAATGCAAGAATATGAATTATTTTGATTGAACAATCCGGAGAGCTTTCTTCGATCAAATTACGTTAGATGAATATTTAAGTGTATTAACGATGTTGGAATTGAGCAATCTTGGGTTCGTTGGATTCGTCTTGTCGAAACGCTCGATTCTACTATAGACTTGCTAGATTTGACATTTGTTTAACCTTCTAAATATGTTTGAAAAACTACCAAGTGTAGTTAATGACTCGATTTGAGCTTGATTACACTTGAATTGGACTAATTTTGGAAACATTGGGTTATTCTTGTCGAGCCGATCAATTTGATTGTAAGTTTGCTGAAATTAGAGTATCATTTATTGAGAATCATGTCGGATGACGGAGATTTGATGCCCATATCAATGATTATAAAAGTACAAAATAAAATAAGTAAAATAAATTTCAATTATTTTAAAATTAACAATTTATTATTAATCTTTTTTTTTTTCCGGCCCTGATTCTTATTTATTGCCAAGCAATGTACAATGACAGTTCTTTTATCTTCGTCCTTCACAAAACCACAATACATAACATCACATCATTTATTATTTAATCAAGTATGCTAATAAAATGATCTAGCAATTCTAACTCTCGGCCTTCACTTCAATAATCTCAAATCTACATTAAAACTAAGTTTGAATACATGATATTTAGCCTACCTTTCTATAGGATTCTTATATATTTACATGTATGATATTAAAAAAGTTTAGAAATTTTACATACAAGCCACACAATTCATATGTATTTACATATCTAACACATTAAATCTGGTATTTACATTTCTAACAATTTATTAGTCAAAATCTATAAATGAAAATTTGTATTTTAAATTTAAAAGGGTAAAGATAGTTATATTTTTAATGTGCTCTCATGACTTTGAGTTGTGTGTAAGGTTGTCAAAATAGCTCGTTATTGGTGAATACTTTATGTTCGGCTCATTAAAAACCTATGTTTGATTTGTTGGCTAAGTTAACGAGTGAGCAAGAATATTTTTTTTTGCGCTCGATATATAAACGAGCCAAACACGAACAAATATCGTGTTCGAATCTTCTTAGCTCGAAATAATAATTATTATTGTATATATATATATATATATATATATATATAATTGATAAGTAGTTTTTTTAAAAAAATTGATTGCAATGTTAAAAAGATTTATAATCAATTAAATTATATTTAAATGATGTTATGATATAAATAATAATATTTAAATCTTGTCCCAACGACTAGAGTTGACAAAACAAGCTTTTGTTTGCAAACAACTCGTGTTCGACTCACTAAACAAACTAGTCGAACACAAACACTTTTTTTGTATTCAAAATATAAATAAACCGAACACGAAAAATAGTATGATATACCTGATTTATCTTGTGCTCGGCTCGCTTACACCCCTAATTGTGTGCATGTAAATATAAGAATTTAGCTGTTACCTATTCAAATATATAAAAAATGTGTGGCTTATACTCGAACCTCCCAAAATCTAATATATATATTAAAAGCAGTTTTGGCATCACTTTGAAGATTTGAGTCTCAATTAAATATTACAATTTAAATGCTTTATATGTAAATATCTTTTAACTTCTATATGTAGGAGATCATAAATCATAAGCTAACACGTCCCAGGAGCACTAACATTTAAACACACCAATCATCCAAAACATTAAATACAATATGCTAATATGATGATTTTATATTTAATGATTAAAATTAATGATTAAAATGATTTTAGGAGGATGGTTGTAATTAAAATGCAATGATTAAAATTATGTAATTAAAATATTATACTTAATATTTTTAGCGGTTGAAATACAAAAGCTTTTATTTTTTTAGAAATTTAAACCAAATAAAAACAATAAACGCGTGGATAAAAATGAGATCTTGGTCCACCCAGTTTTGATCAATTCAGCCCATCCAATTAAACAAACAGCTTCGCGCATCTATTAATAAAACGGGGGCAAAACAGCCAACACTTAAGGTCTCAACCAAGAAATCTCCTCAACCAGACCACAAGAGAGATCCCACCACCCGTTCCATTTTCTTCCCCCTTAAAAACCTCATTTTGCTCCATTTTCCCCCTAAAAAACCAATCTTCCTGATCCATGATCCACACACGAGCTTCCATTGATCCAAAAATCCTGCCTCCACCAGCACAAGCTCGCAGGAGCATAGAAGCTTGATGACGCTGATCACCAAAGAGGAAAACAGCTTCGGGCTTACAGAGAATGGAACGGATTATAGCCCAGCGACGACTTCACATTGCCGACAATATCATTGCACCTGAGCAGCAGGCTCAGCATTTGACCCGAGATATCGGCGATCATCTTCTCCCTTGGTTCATTAGATGGCGCTAATGGCGGCAAAATCCCTCGGCTTAAATGGAAATGAGCGGCACGAGGTTGCGTTGCAGGGAGCGTCTGTGGGTGAGGTGGACGAGGAGGAAGCATCTGTGAAGGTGCAGGAGTTGGTGGTGGGATGCGATAAGGATGCGTCTCTAATCCGCGGGAAGGGGTTTGGAGGGGTTGAGATGGAGGGGGAGAGAACAACCCTGTAGATTTTGGAGGGGCTTGGCCGCTGCCATTGTTGCTGCTCGCGACAAGCTTCGATGGAAGAGGTGGTGGGGGCGGCTCGCTGCTGCGATCATCTTCGCCATTAAGCATGAACTTCACCCTCGGACTCTCCCTTGTGATGCTAATAGATGCAACCGCAGAGTTGGATCCCGAGTCGTCACCAACAGGCTTCTTCAGAATGGATTTCAGCTGAATCTGGCTCTGTTGCGCTTGGGAAAAAGAAGGTTTTTGGATACTGGTACCACCATGGCGGTATTGCAGAGAGTCCTTATCAGGACGGGAAGAATCAGAGGGTTTGTTTTGAGGATCGAGAGGCTGTTCCGGGCCAGAAACCTCATGATCTTTAAGAAAGTAGGCGACTTTAGCCTGGCCGAAGATGTCATTGATCTGGACGAAGTTTAAGGCCGACTGCGCATCGGACTTGTGCTTGAAAAGGACCTTACATGTGTAGTTTTTCCAAGACACGCGAGTGCCTGTGAGGTCAAGAGGCCCAAAGCGAGCGTATCTGGCCTTCAGATTTGATACGGAAGGAAGGGTTGATCTGGGTGGGAACTTCATTATTAGAAAAGTTGGGCTTGGAAGCTTTGGAGATGGAGGGCGCTCTTGCTTCCTGGAAGCTTCGGTTGCGGTTGCGGAGGATTTGATGTCTTTTGGGTCCTTGGGCTGTTGCATTTCGGGGGGCTTTTGGCTGATAGCAGCCTTCTTCTTCTTGCTTGCGAGTTGTTTGATCTGGTTCATCTTGTCCATCTTCTTCACCCACAACTCCTCCTGACGATCAGAGGGATCGCGTTTGCGGCTGGCCTTAGTTGCTTCCCCTAATCTTGAAACTGGTTTCGTTGGCTTAGATAAGGAAGATGATTCTGCATGCTCCCTCCCCTCTCTGCCTACAGATGATGGTTGAGAAGGAGCAGATGTTTCCATGGAAGGAGAGAGGGTAAGACTCTTCTGATATACCAGCGAGCGGAACCGGAGAAAAACATGGCGAACAATGGCGGGAGCATCGCGCTCGACGGCATAGAATGGATCAAGAGCGACGGAGGAGAGGTCACTGATGAGTTGGGGGAATTGCAGCGAACTTAAATCCAGCCAGGGAGGGAGTTCCATATTGATGTCGTCGTCCTGGGGAAGAAGATCAACGATTCCTATCGACCTGCCTGTTACTAACCTGCGTTGATCTGCATCCAAGGAAGCTGGAGATTGGTCGGCATCAATACCATACTTCTTCTTCTTCTTCTTCTTCTTTACCTCGCCTCTCTCATTGAGGTCCTCCCGTGGTCGCTTGAGCATCACCTCCTTCTTCACAATAGCAACGCCATCATCACGCGCCTGAAGAGGGGGCATCTGTTGCTGGCCATCAACAACATTCTGAGAGCTCTCCGTAGGAATAGGATGCACAATGGACTCGGACAATAATCCCCCCTCGTTCTTAATTTCAAATGGTTCTGATTTCTGCGGATAACCAGGGGGAATAGCTGCCTCCGTTGTCGACTGGAGATCAGTGACCGCATAAGACGGCGGAGGAAGGTCCTCTCTCTTCCGCAGCACATAATCGGCATCCATGGCTGAGGCGAGCGGACCGGTTGAGTCCGGTAAGGAAGGGAAGAAGCCATGATGGAGGAGTTGGGATGAGGAAGGAAGGTCCGGGATGGAGCTGCTGGCAGCGGCGGTGGCGGCGGCTGCTGCGGAGATGGTGGGGAGATCGTCGCGCCTTCTGAGCACGTATTTGTTCTTCTTGGCAGAATTAGTAGGTTTGTGGGGGGCCTGCCTCGTCGTGCTTCTTCGATCACCCAAGGACTCTGCAACCACCAGCGGGCCGCTGAGCTGAGCCCCTGCACACATGCCACGGAAAAAAAAAAAACACGTGTGAGCGAATACGGAAGGGGTAAAACGTCGAACACGTTGCGTGCTGTCTAATAAAGCCCAACTGGGGAAAACGTTATCAGTTGCTTAAAAGCAAATTATTTACATTTAATAAAACTGAAAAATCATAATATATGGGTTAGGGTTGGATCGGGTGATGACAATTAGTTATTTATACATTTATTATTCCACTTTAACCTTTTAAAGTGTTACAAATCATAACTTATATTAACTAGATCATTGATACTATAACTTTTGCCATTATATATATATATATATATATATGTATATATATATATATGAGATGGTTAACAAAGAGAGAAAGGGCAGCAATCGATCCGGAAAGCGAGACAAAGGAGAAACTTTAGAGCGAACCACTTTCGATGGACCCCACCAAGCCATAATCTCTGCACGTGTTTGGTCAAACTTACTTATTTCTACTTTCCTTCATCTCTCTCTCTCTACAATAATTGGGGCCCATGCCATTTCTAGTACGTAAAATAATTAATTTATATTTATTTCAATTAATAGTTAGCCGCCATATTTTTATTATAAATGTCCGAGTCAACTGAGGAACGCCAGCTTTTATTTTTATTATTGTTATCATGTTAAAAGAGGCTGCTCAAGCCCCCTTGCCGGGAAACAGAGCCATCTCCTCAAGTGCTCGCCGCTCATGCAGACGCAATAGCAGAGAGAGGTGTCTAACATTTTTCATTTGATGTAGTATATTATTATTATTTTATTATTATTATTGTTACTACTATTGTTATATTATTATTATTATTATTATTATTATTATTATTATTACTATTACTACTATTGTTGTTGTTATTATTATTATTATTATTATTATTATTATTATTATTATTATTGTTATTATTTTTTTTTATTATAGGGTTATTGAATTAGATGGCAAAATTCACTCCAAAGGATTGCTTCTCTAATAGATGCTTTGCAATCCTAATGCAAAGCAATAAAAGTACGAAAATACAAAAAAAAAAAAAAAACTCTTAATATTCGCCAATTTATTTCATCTATTTATATAAGATTAAAAACCAAATTAAAACTTCTGATTTCTTTTGTGCAATTTTCAAGTGGAAAAATAGTAATAATATAATCATAATAATTGTTAATTGTAATAAGGGAATGCGGTTAGGTAAAAAAACCGGCTTGTCCTGGTCCTAACCATCTTCACGAACAATAAACCAATGAGAGTATTGAGAAAGCTCATACAACATCTTTAGTGAAAAAATTCAATTAAATCTAACTTTGTCCTAACCATCTTCACATCTTTAGTGAAAAAATTCAATTAAATCTAACTTGGGTGAATGCATTAGATCTATAGTAATTGTAATAATAATATTATTATTGTTATAGAATAAATGGAATGTCTAAGCAACTAAACTATACAGCTATTATACTAAAGTAAAGCGCCAATCACACACAAAAATTGTTAATATTTTACTTTTGCATGTGCACTGTGTCAAAGTCTGGTGTAACACACACGCCAGCATACAAAATAATAATAATAATAACCAATTGGAAAGATCTAAAACTACACAAGCCATCATCGCTCCAATGTAGTTTGTAGCTACAAGAAGCAAAAGAAAATCATAAAAGATACAAAATTTATCAATGCAATTGTGAAAGGCAAACAAATTCAGTGCACCCACTTCATCACCTAATAATTCAACAGAATGCGCATTTCAACCAGCGAAGTAATTCATTAATTAGGAAAGCAAATTTATCCACTTTTTTCATGAATGCAAAGCACAATTTCACAGTTCTAATGTTAATTTCAATTCCAACACACAAATAAAATTAAGTTTGGGAATTATTTTACTTTAGCTTCAATTAATTTTAATTATTAAATGTATTAAAACGTATATTTAAGGTTAAAAAATATAATTATGTATTTGACACTGATGTTACAAACTACATTCTCCATGAGTAAAGCAAATCGACCCCTCTTTGCAACCAACAAGCAAAATAGCAATAATAAGAGGCATTCACACACATATCATACAATTTTTAATGTATATACATATCCAACAACTAAAGATTCATACTTAAGTGCATACCACACATTACTAGCATCACGTCAAAAATACCACAATCACAATCTTTCTAAAAGTGAAATACGCATTTTCATGCATAAGTTTATGACCCTAAAGTGCTGAGTGTAAATATCAAACTTTTGGTACGAGACATGTAAATCCATAGAAATTGTGGCATGTACCTAAATTTTCCTAATAACAATATACATGATTTGAAAAATGTTCCAAGCAAAGCCTGATCCAAAATCACCAAAACAAGACATGAACCCGAAACCGAAAATCATGCCCCAAACAACCAATCAGTTCAATTAAGTTGCTTCAAAATAAATAAACATGGCTTTAACTAAAGAAGAAGGCCACTCGGAAATATACACAGAAGCTCCACCAGGAGGACAATCAGACAGATATCCCACAACCAGTTCAGCAGCAGCACAAACTCTCCCAGATAAAACTAATAAAGTCCACTACAGTTTTACAGGTCTAAAGCCACTCGATGCTACAGGAAGAAATAGTTTAACAAGCCTTGCCCTGCTTACTAAGGGGAGCACAGCTGCTAACAGATTTTGGAGGAATCATTTGATTAAATCATTTCAAATGAATGTTCTGGTCAAAATTTTTGAATAGATGGGAAGTGGAGAAGTGAACTTATTTAATCAACCCAGGGGCATTCAATTAATCCAAAACTAAACCCAGGTGTGAAGGTTATATACAAATGTAGTGGCAGCACCAGAACTGTCATCAGTCTTAAGTTTGAAGTGACTAACCACAAGAAGCAGATACATATTCCTTAAGGTTTGCTCAGACAAAATGACTAAGTTCAGAAGGACTGTGGCAGTTTTAGGGAAATTCATATAGTAACAAGTCCTTTGGAACGTCATAGATTACAGTTTTATAGCCAAGCCGGTCTATTTCCTAGGCATTCAAATGAACGAAGGTGGAGTGATAGCAGCTCACACATCACCTAAAATGTCATTGCAAAGGTGTGCCTAACCTAGCACTTTTTTATTGCAGCACATGCCTTCGGGAGTTCAAGTCCGCCGCCTCAAATGATAATATAATGAGAACTAGAAAAATCATTTGTTATGTGATATTATGATACACTTATATGATGTATAAATAGTTCCATTTCAAATTTTTTTATGTTAGGATTTAAAGACAAGCGAACAAGGGGTTTGCAAGCACATTGTCGAAGCAATGAGCATGGAGATCGAAGTTTGACCATTAAAAGCAAAGAGCATTGTAAGTGACTGCAAGGCAGACAAGCATGTTGTAAGAAGCGATGTGCATGGAGATAGCAGTGTGAGGAAGAGCAAAGAGCATTGTAAGTGACTGCAAGCAAGGGAGACAAGCATAGGCCTAATTGAGCAACAGAATGCACGGGGGTGCATTGTTTGTTTAAAATAAAAAAAACCAAACTGAAGAGAGCTCATTTGTTTGATTTGATTCGAATTAAAAATAATGAATCCATTTCTTTCTTTTTTTAAGAAGTGAAGAATTGATATTGGGTTTTCTAGGTCGATTATAATATTTATTAAACAAAAAAAATAAAAAATCAAATAATATAAGAACTAGGAAATTAAACTCATTTAGAAAAATATATATTCAGCAAATGACATTTAAGGTCTGTTTGAAGCGGTGGTTTTCACGAGGCAGTTTTCGCGCGGGGCGTGGAGCAGCTGTGAATAGCGGTCGTTTGGTTCCACGTCCGAACCCGGAGGGACGCCGTTTTGCCGAAACACGGCCCCATACCAAATCCCGCGGCCCGCATTCGAGCGATGGAGTAATACGCGGCTTACCCCCGACCCTAGATCGAACCCCGCAACGTCGCGCTCCTCCCTCCCTATAGCTCCACCGTCCCTCAAGGGTCTCTGTACGCTGCAATCTCATTGTTGTCTTCCCAGCTTGCTCTAATCGCGGTTGTATCGCAAGGGTTCATTCACAAAGGCCCTAGTTTTGGGCGAAACCAGAAGCTATCTCATCGTTGCCTTCCCAGCTTGCTCTAATCGCGGCTGTACCTCGAGGGTTTGTTCATAAAGGCCATGGTTTTGGGCGAAACCAAGAGGGAGGGAGGGAGGGAGGGAGGAGATGGATTATTTACAATAAGTTTTAATTTTGTTAATTTAATTTATTAATATGTAATGATCAATACATATATTTTCAAATTAAAAATAATTAGAGGAATTTATATATTATTATATAATGATTAATTAATTTATAAACACATTTTTATGTTTTTAATTATTTGATAAAAATATAAATTTTCTTAATTATTAAAACTACTTAATTATTAATTAATGTAAATATATTGTTTAAGAAATAATTTATTTAATTAAAAAATTATTTTAAATTGTGTTTTAAAGAGCTTTACTAAACAGAAGCAGAATTGCCATTTTTCAGAAACAACTGTGGGGCAGCCTTTTTCACACAGCTGCAACAAATAAACAACCACCATCCTAGCAGTAGCTTCCTGGGGGAACGCAGCTGCCCCAAACAGATCCTTATTTTACTTTAGCTTAAAAATTTCAATTTTAAGAGAATGGTGATTAGGTGATAAAAAAGAAAAATTTTAGTTTTGAAATAGAATCTTAAGTTTTGATTAATTAAGTTTGAAATTGTACCATTTGCTAAATTTCAATTTGATCAAATCGAATTACATTTCGGTTTGATTTTAATCATTTTTAACAAAAGCTTAATCAGTTCAAATTTTGATTTTATCCGATTTGACTAATTTGTTAACTAATCCATCCAAATTAATTGTTTGTGCATCCCCAAAAATAGATACAATTTTCTCCACAAAAAATAATAATATATTTTATTTATTTCCTTTTAACAATTTTTATTTCTTCTTTAACAGATTTTATTTACATTTTGATAGCTTAGTTTCCTCAATAAAATTTTTATTTTATTTGAAACTGATGATGAACTAAATTAACTTGTTGATGGTTACCACATATTTTTAAATTACATTTGATTGTATTACTTTGTCTTCAGCTCAATGTTTTATATCCCAATCTACATTGAGGCATATGCCAAGCTTCACAAACGAAGAATGCATTAGTCCCTGATTTCATCTTTTTAAAGCTAGAGTAAATCAAATACAAAGAACTTAGTCCAGATTTTGAATACACCAGCGTGCCTATTTTTGTGAATATCGAATTATCACAAATTGGGTGAATTTCAAGCAAAAGAAAAACGAATAGAAATACAAATGCACCAATCATCTGCCAAGCCATCATGTAGGGATTTATAAGAGTTTGTCCATGTTCATTGGTTAACTAATAAAAAAATTTAACACATTTATAAATAATTGACATTTAAATAAACAAGTTTGAATAAGATGTCGATCAATTCATTTATGATCATGAACAATAAATTTTGAACAAGCATGCTAAAAAGCCCGATTATGGGTCGATACAGCCCTATGAAGGCTCATAAAGAAGCTCAATTATGTCTTTATAAAGTTTGAATATCATCTCTTATTTTGGAATCTAGTAGAACGTTATTTGAATGATTTAAAGAAGAATTGCTTGAGTCCTAAAAGAACTTAAATTGCTGTGTGTAACCCACATGACCTAGTAAGAGGCTGTTCAAAATCACGTTTAAAAAAAGAATCAAAAAGATGAAACTGGCTAAGGCTCAATAAGATCAGCTAGTTATAGAATGAGAAAGTTTGTTAAATTAAAATTTTATTTTATTCAACTCAATAAAATTGGCTCGTTAAGGCTCAATAGAATCAGCTCAATTAGAGTTATTTATGCATCCAAACCAGTTCTTGTTTAAAACTTGTTGATCACAAAATGACGCAAGCTCAAGCTGGGCTCAAACCAAGCTAAAACATATATACATCTATATGAACTTTGCTTGAACAATATCACAATACTCACAATCCCTAATGCTTGGACAGCCTATTGTCATCACCAGCCAATGCCTCCCTTTGCTAGCATCATTGTTTTCAACCATTTCTCCAATAGCCACGACCCACATCCCCCCCTTCGCTCCGCCTGCATTCTTCCTACTCACCACTCCCCACAACCGCCTGCTTATCAAGTCACCGATTTCCGACATCCAGCATATTTCAATGCAGTTATCATAACAAACAAAAAATATAATTAAATTAAATAATCAACACATTTTATTTATATATTCAGCCAAAAAACTTTGTGCATTTTTTAAATGCATATACGCCAATTACTCTACATTTTTAAAATTCATGTACTTTAAGAAGATCCAATCTTAATGTTATCAACTGAAGCTAAACAAAGCTCAATTGCACCTTTGACTAACTTAACTCACTCTTAAATCTCCTGATAGTGACCTCCATAAAATTACATCATAAAACAGCCTAAACATCAAAATAATAGAGAAGCTCACATCAAGATCGAGTTAGAGATGCCTAAATATTAATATCCTTCATTTAATCTACCAAGATAAATGGCGTTCATTTTTTTCCTAGATAAACCCTCACACCTTCTAAATGATAATTGTAATCAAATCTCCAAAATCTTATCAACAAAAAGAAACCTTCAAAAGTAGCAAATGCCAAGGAGGCAACATTATGAAGGAATCAAAATGTTCAAGCTAAAAATCCTTTGGTTATTTTTATTGCAAATTTTTACATAAAATGGTGCAAAAAATTGGTTTAAAAAGGCTAGACAATTCACATGCCTTCATGAGGAAGGCCAAATGCTCAACAAAATTTCAATAGAAGTTTGATTCAAACTCGCAAAAAAAATAAAAAAAAATAAAAAAAAAATCTAGACACAAGTCAACTCAGATCATAAATCAATGTAAGCAACAAATCTGGTTGTAATTAAAATAAGCAAAACAGGATCAACTTACCTCAAAATCAACAGATTCTAGTAAACAAAGAAATAATTAGCAAATAAGAAAATCAATGATTATTATAATCAACATTAACCTTTATCCCAACAATAAGTAATCTGCTTTATGAATTTCCAATTTTGCTTTTCTTAAGCTTAAAAGCTACATTAGATGAAAGCTTTCTTTTTTGTGCAAATCGTGTGTTCACAACTAGCTTCACCAAGATTAAATTTGATATACCCATTTTCCTTCATATTCCTTTCACATTAATTCAATCTGTCAACTTATTAAAGCATTTACTACCCTCCATATCATCGCCAAACCATGCAAATCATTTCTAAAATACCATCTCTGTAATGGGTCTAACTCCCATCGTCATCTAACAATCTTTTTCAGCCTTATCATTCCCAAGTATACCAAATACCACAACAACTATAGAAGAAACTGTCACATGCAAAAAGCACACATATATCGATATTTAAAAGAAAGCATCTCCAATACTGATAATAAAATGATGTAAACTTAATTTTTAATACATAACATGCCATTTTATGCCTAACAACTCATTTATCATTCCTTAATTACTTTTAATGCTACCGAATACTCAGCGACATGGATATCTAACAGCTTCAACCTAAACTTAACGCCATCATTTCTTCATATTAAACCAAAACAAAACTTGTGCTAAATCATGTAATTTTCAAGACAAAAAAAAATCATATAAAACTCAATTCTTTGATCTCCATCAATAACCACCTCGACCAAAACTCACCACAAATAATATTTTTGTTCATAAAATGAAATCGATTCTCCTTTAACAAAATAATTTTCCCACAATTGTCCATTAACCTCAACAAATAACTATAATATGACTTTATTATTCCATGATCAGCACAATCACCATCATCTCTTTAGCTTCAAATTTGTAATAAAATGATTCGTCATCCAATTATTTATCAACTTCCTTCTATGTAATAACTTGTTTTAAAAAAGAGTTCACCAAATTACTCCAATATATTATATAAATCCAAAAAATAAAAGATTGCATAACTAAACAAATCTCAATAGATATGTCCTCCAAAAACAAAGGATACATTTTTGCATTTTCTTCAAAAGCTAACTCAACTGTAACTTTTTAATGAAAATACAGATTAATTTAGGATTTGTAATGATGCTCTTCTAAAGAATACTATTTCTTTAAAGTTCCCATAAATAGTTACTTGAGATAGCATTTCCAAATTTCTTCAAAGACCTATATTTAAGTAAGCTCATATTATCCTCAATCTTTGTAAGTTTAACTTAATTAAAAACTCTATCGTTTTCTCAAGTATCAGCTGTTTTTATAGCCTTTTATACTTCGCTAAATACACTAGATACTAACCCATAACACAAATAATCAAAATGTTATCATACATACAAATTAGTAGAATAATGATGCATTATGTTATTTTAAATTCCTAGAAAAGTGGCAACTGCAACATTCCAAAATACAATACATGGTGTTTAAAAAAAGAAAACATCGAAATAGATACTACAAAAACTATTTCCGATTAAAAAGTAAAACCATGCAATAAAAAACAGTAAGAATGGGAAGAGATGATAAGAATTTCAAGCAAGTCATATTGCTAGTTTAATTTATGTAAAGAACTAATGAAAAAAAACAGGAGATCATAACAACCTATATGTTTTATTCTGTTGGAAATTTTGAAAACAAAATTGGCCATGCCACTCCCAACTAAGATAATTAGCATCAATTTTCTCACCAATCCAAGCAAGCAATATTAATTTATGTATCAAATATAAAATCAATTTAAATATTAATTGCTGCTTTCTTGTTACATGGATCCAACACAAAATCTCTTATGGAATCACATGAACCAAAGAAAACAGCCGGAAAAGTAAAGCCCCCTTCTCCATCTTGCAAAACTAGTTAAATAGTCTTCCTACAAAATTACTTTAAAAATCCGTATCATATCAATAGTATAAATAATAATTAGTAAAATCTTATTGCGCATCATTCCATTAGGACCACCTATTGTATTGAAGGAAAATCCAATTGTACTGAAAAGCAAACTGATTTTAAACTCAAGCTTAACTTAACTAAAGTGTTCAATGATATGCAGTCAAGAAAGTTCAAATACAGATCATTACACACTTTCAACACTAAAGCACAGCTATAAAACATATATTGTTTAATACCTCGAGGTGCAAATCTATCAGTCTGATCAAAAGCAACAGTACTGTTGGGAGAGGGGCGCACAGGCTCCACACCAAATGCCTGGGCATATGTCTCATCAAACTCCTCAAAAACTGCCCTCCGATATGCCAGCAACTGTGCCAATGTCTGAATCCACTCAATGCTGTTATCCTTGTTTCCAGGAGCATCTAACGCCAACCGTTGTACGAAAGAGAGCAGCTCAACAGGAACTAAGCTATCCCTTGACTTTTTGATTTGTCTTGAGGAGTAGATACCGCCTGGTTCATAGCCTACAACATCAACATAAAAGTATCCAGCAACAGTAGTTGGCCGGAAATTGTGAAGGTTGCGGCAACGGCAAGCCACAGCAAGCGCACCTCTCCGACTAGCCTCATCCACAGCCTCTTCCACAGCCTTAACAAAGCTCCGAGAAGTTGTTTGCCTTGACTTTTCAGGAAAATGGGGCTCAAAGGGGATGAGCTCCGCCGGATCAAACCAACCGTAGCTACTGTCACCAAAGAAAGCAACCAAGACAAATCCTTCCCTGCTCATCCTTCGCACGGAAGGTGAGGCAAAGGACACGTTGAATATGTGTCCCGGCCACCATGGGTGGGACTTCACCTTGCCCCAAACCATGTCACCTATTCTAAAACCATTCATCCAGCTACTTGACTCCACGAAAGAAACCCTATCATCTCCATCTATATAAACGACGTTATCTTCACCGCCAGCCTCCATCATCTCCTCCTCCTTTACAAATCCAGAAGCCCTAGTTTCAAGATCTGGAATCCTACCTGCCAGATCGACCCTAGAAGAAACCCTAGGTTCAGAGGAAACACCACTGCAACCATCATCGCTAAACTTACCTCCTTCATGCGGATTCTCCATCACAAACAAAGAGCGATCAGCTGTAGCGGCCACGGACAGGATAGATTTCGACTCGATCTCAAAACCTTCCATGACAGATATCATAATAGCAACGATGGACAGTAAAGAAACCGAAACCTGAAAGATAAGCTACGGGTATCGAATTTGGAGTGCAGATTTGCATAACACTAACCAAAAAAAAGGCCTCCGACGACTTCGAAAACCCTTAGAAGTCGTGTACCTAAACGAGCAGAAGAAACCCTAGAACCAGATCAGGAGAGCCGAAATGGGGCAAAGATAGAAGCGGCGGGCCAGGTCGGGCGACGGATATGCTTGTACGCAGTCCGTCCCATTGTAATAAGTAATAACCCTCTTCATATGTGAAAATTATACACATTTTTAGTTCTCTTCCCAACTATATATATATATATATATATATATAATTGATATTTCAATTAAAAAGTTTATTTCATCATGCACAATTCTCGAATTATATTGAATAAAAAATTAACTAGCAATCATTGTCACTCAGTTAATCATAGAATTATTATTGCATGATATTTATAACACAATAAAAACTCTATAACTCTGTCTTCTATAATTAAAAAGATGGCATAACTTCGAAACTTAAAATATATAGTGGATTATTTTGATTTGATTCGGCCCCATTATTTTTTTATTGGATTTTCCACACAAAATAATTATTGTCTTCTATCATTTTTATGTGTATGTGGTGGATTTTTCTATCGATCTAAAATTATTAGCATATAAATAAATAAATTTCAAACTCTTCATATTACAAAAGAGTCATTGATAAGAATGATGTTGGACTCAACAGTCTTATTCAACGATTATTACGGTTAACTGGCTATGCGACATGCTTATGAAATGTAATATGTCTAAGCTAAAATATTTGAAGAATAAGAATAAAAATAACCCTTCAAAATTTTTTTTTTGGTAGAAACAATATGTTTTTAATAATTGTTGCATATATTGCTTATTATCATGCTTTTGATTGCATAGTTTTAATTCTCTGTTAGAAGACAACAATTTCTGATGTAGGTAAAAATCTTTTGGATACATAACATTTTATATTTTAAAATTAATTAAATGCTCTATATTTTATTGATGATTGCTTTACACATCCTTTCATGATTATATTTGTGAATTAATATTAATAGATTTGAAGTATAAGATTATGCTTAATGATGATTTAGTAAGAGTAATTTTATACGAACTTGATCTTTATTAGTACAAGTCATGATGAATGACAGTAAAAGTTGGGTTTATCAGAATCACCGCCCTTCTTTGTTTACACAGCTGGTTGCCCAACGAGGGTTTATAGTGGTGTGACACAAACACACTGATTATGCTTAATGATGATTTAGTAAGAGTATTGTATACTAACTTGATCTTTATTAGTACAAGTCATGAAGAATGACAGTAAAAGTTGGGTTTATCAGCATCACCGCCCTTATTTGTTTACACAGCTGGTTGGCCAACGAGGGTTTATAGTGGTGTGACACAAACACACTCTCACTCACTCTCTCTTATATCTCAATAAATTCAATGATGCAACATATTATGAGGATCAAGTAAATAAATTCAAAGATTTAATTATAAAAGCTCTAGTAAAAGTCCAACAATTTGCCTAATTAAGGCACATCACAAGAGCCTAATAAATTTTTTTTAATTTTATTAATTAATTTTAAAATTTAGGTTTTGTAAGCTTTGAATTTTTAAATTTAAAGGCATGTTTTGGCTGATCATTTAAAAAAAGATTAAAAATAAATGTTAAAATTATAAAGGTGGTTGTCATATTACTCAATAATCACCTATATTTCTCTCCAAAGTTTTCTTATTTTTCAAAAATATAGCAAATGTAATCTTTATAAACAAGCATGTTATGTGATGCACTTTTAGTTGTTGGATGAGATATTTTTTGAGTAAAAATGTATTATCTGATTATACTTGGTGTTTAGTGACTTCAAATATATGTATTTTCTTGAATAAGAATATGTATTTATTTTTTATTCATTTTAGTTATTCAATATTCCTCTATAGCAATGACTTTAAGCTCTTTATCACTCTTTCTTCTCGCTAAAAGTATTTTGCAAAATCAACAAACTAGCAATAAAAGCTCATGCCTATTCCAAATGCCTCCTCACAGCTCTCGACTAAGTTATAGAATACTAAGCCCATATATTGTTCTCTACTGCTTAATCATTTACTCAGAATCATAAGTATACATCATATGCTAATCATTCACAAATATTTTCAACATTTTACCTAATCCTAAATCACTCGCCTAAAGATTTCCTTTTCAAAAAAAGCCCTAACGAGCCTAATTTAAATTAGTCATGATGTTCTAATCAACATATCATATAAAACCTCTTAGCATTGACCAAAAACTTTGGATTTTGCCTTTAGATACTAAACTAAAAATTCATGGCTTTTTCTTGTCTTTGATATTATCAAAAAAACACCCATCAACATCATGCAAGCAATCAAGCATCTAAAGATTCTTAACAGTCGAGTGATTTCAATTAGTGCAAGACCTAAGAGAGTAAAAAGTTTAATTGTTGGATCCCTTATGAGCTTATGTACCTTTGGTTTTCATGATATTAGTTCTAAGTAAGACTTTGAAGTGGACATATTTATTATAAGAATTTCTTTATTATAAAGATGATGGACTTGGATTTCTTTTTAAGCTAAGTGAATATATTATATTAATTAACTTTTAAGTAGAATGATCTTGATTACTTTACAAATAATCATAATCAACAACTTTAATCTCAACATTAGCTCTTAATATAATTTTAAAATAAAATTATGCTTTGAAATTCAAGTTGCTAACTTTTATATTATATATATTTTTTTTTTGTTGAGTAACATAAATATAATAATAATATATTATTATTTTTTTTGTTGAGTAACATAAATATAATAATAATAAAAACTTAAAAAATGAAAGAATGTGAGAAGAGAACATATATGATACATGTTAATATTTTATATTTGTTTCATAGTCTCTTAAGTTGATATTATTTTCATACTTAGGATACATATCATATATGCATTAGTTTTGTTTCATTGTTTTGCTTATTTACACTTTTTTAATATATTTGAATCTATTATTGTCCATTAAAATGGATTTTTTTAGATTTCAACCTATTATTTGTTGCATAGTGTTTATAAAAAATGAATGTGTAATACAATTATTTAGTGAATGTAGAAGTTCTAACAAAAAAAAAATATAAATGTTTGCATAGTTAAATTATATGTAAAGATAGAGGTATAAACACAATTAAATAATACATTGTTGGGGTTGTTAAATGCAAAAAAGATTAAATAAAAAATAAAAATCTCAAAAAGTTTCACTCAAAACCTTATAACTTTAAATATAACATTTTAACCACAAAAAACTTTTACTCATAACCTTCATTTAAAGTTTGAGTGGTTAAAATATTATATTGAATTTTTTGGGTAGTTGGTATGTAAACAACATAAAATAGAAAGTTTGATATTAGTAGCAATTAATTTTCTTATAAAGTAAAGTTGGGGTACAATCATATTTAAAGAATATTTGCATCTAAATACATTATACATTATAATAATATGATATTTGCAATATTTATTTTATGTTTGTGTATCTATTAATGCCTTGAATTCATCATTTGCACAAATAAATGATTTTGATGTCATAACAACTATTAGGCTAGGATTTTAATCTTTTTAATATTTTATAATGAGAGTTGATTGATTGAGAATTGCATGGAATAATGTGGGATTATACTTTAGTTCTATAGTTGTTTTTAAAAAAGAAATTAGATGCATAATAATGGTTTAGCGTTCACATGATTTATTATTTTTAAAAATTTGCTAAAAAATAGTATGTCAAAAGGAATGTAATCGTACATCTAAATATAGAACTTCGAAACAATTAGGAAAGTCCAGGCATTATGCATGAATCTTTTAGGCTTAATGGATCGAGCTTGTTTAATGAAACCGATCCTACAAGCTAGTCATACTCATGAAAGTAATAGTTACCATATTTGGCTTTCATAAAGACTTGGTGATCTCATCTGCTGAGTATGTTAGTATTTATGAGAGCACCTCTGACTGAACTCGTTGATACTTAGAATTCATGAGAGCTTCTTCAATCATGTTCACAAATATTCCCCCGAGCTCTTCTATCAAACTCCTCACATCTAACGAGTTCTTTGGTTGAGCTCGTTCGCATCCATCATGCTACGATTATCAAGCTCGTTGAACAGTCCTTCATGACAAAAGAAAGGAAAACTCTGTTAAATCATCCTCCATGCTTGCTTATTGATTGCATGACATCCGCACCTAGGATCTTATCAACAGCGAGTCTTAATAGACTCCATACAACATTATCGACAACATCACATTTGCTTATTATTTGTGGCGTTATGAAGACAATTACTTTCTACAAGATATAAATGTGAGGGAAATGAAGAGGGCTCTCTCCCTCTCTTCTTACCACCATCAATAACAACACTTACTTTGAAATCCTTAGCTCCATTTTACCTCCTTCACAAACTCTCTTCGAAATTGTATGAACTCACAGACAATATACAAGACCTATATCCTAGAAGGATTTAATAACATTGTTTACTAAAGTAGCAGATTAGATTGGTTTTAAATTTATGATTTAGTTAGTAAATAATAATGCCACAAACTATACAAAAACATGAGAGAACTCATATAAAAAGTATGTCACTATTTATCGGTCACATTGTTTAGTTAGTAAATATGCCACAAACTATACAAAAACATGAGGGATCTTATATAAAAAGTATGTCACTATTTATCGGTCACATTGTGCTACATTTGAATAAACTTGGCTAATAAGATATAAATTGAATGCTTTATGTAATATATCTTTCAAAAAGTGCTTCAAATAAGAAAATAATAATTTATGATCATGAAATTATTTTTTCCCTAAAAAAAGCTGAGATTGGAAAGTAATTGCTAATTTTTGAAAATGACTATGATAATACTTAAAATATAGAAGGATAAATAACTTGCAAGCACTATAGTGATTTAAAATTAGCAAAACAATATTAAAAAAAAATGCAAGCTCTATTATTTTAAATGCTAGACTTGGAATATTGCTTAATAATATCAAAATTACCTAGACAACTCATGGAGTTGTAAGAGTAGTCGATTCTAATGAAAAATTCAACACTTGGTTATATTTATGATTAAACATATGGAATAATAAAAGCATATTCAAACTTAATTCTACGAGCTCCAGCTGGTTTAAACTAATATTTTAATTAAATAATAAATAGAATAAGTATTTAGAGTAACTAATAAAAAAACAATAATAAACTATTAAATGTCATTTTTTAAACCTTTTTTAAAAATTAAATTTTAATATATTTTAATTACTTTTCTATTAATTATTTTTTAAACAAGCAGATTAGATTGGTTTTTATTACTTATAATGCTATATTAATTATGAGCTAACGAATCGAGTCAAGGCTGAGGTTTGTTTATTAGCTCATCGCTATTAATTATTTTTTAAACAAGCAGACACGAGCTAACGAGTCGAGTCAAGGCTGAGGTTTGTTTATTAGCTCATCGAGCTCTATTCACAAGCCACTTATCGAGTCAAGCTTGAGTCGACTCACAAGTCAGCTTGACTCACACCCCTAATTCTAAATCTAGTCATTTTAAAGTATCATCTCATTAATTTAAGCCATCATCCTTATAATCAAACATGCAGTTATTAAAATGATTTAAAAAAAAAAGAAGAATGGAATTGATCAAAATAAATTGAACCACTTGATTGGAATAAGATCAACTCTATCATTTTCCAAAATAAATTAAAAATTTCCTAGACCCAAGTCATTTAATCACAGTTAAAATACAAATTAGACTTTATAATTAAAGCTAAAATACTCAGCCATAAGCTAAAATGAGTTACATTATATAAGTTTATAAGAAATACATATTGCTAAAAACAAAAATACCCTTTAACCATCAAGATAGCCCTTGAATGTCCCCATCTTTGGATCTTGCCCCAATGCCTCTTCAACAAATTTGAGTTTGAGACAATACTTAATTAATGACAAAAAAAAATGGACAGAAATTCACATAGGAAGAAAAATATCCATAAATATTATACCTCAGACATAATGTTGCTCCCCTATAATAATTTTAAAAGAAGCAAGAAATTAGTACAAAAAAGAAAGAACCAAAAAGCAATTTATGCAAAAGAAAAGAAAGAAAGAAAGAAATCCTGATACATCTCCTATACCAATGAGAAAAAAATGTAAAAACAATAGATGCTCATAAATTCCAACAATTTATTGCATGTCTTCTAATAATATGAGGAAATGTGAATATTGTGGTTTAAACCTGTATGAATTACTGTGAAGGGGGAAGGGATATGGACAAAATGGATTAGGAGTAATCAGAAGGCTTTTCTGCAGGGTTGCCTGCGAGCCAGCCCCAAACCCCGCCGGAGTTTTGCCTCTGCCTCGCACTCAAAGCTGCTTGCTCGGAGGCGGCTTTCTGTCTTTGAAGTAGCTCCACTTCCTTCTGCAAAGTCTCCATGTTCTGCAACTTCTGACGAAGCTCTGCTAGATCAACCTGTCAACAAGAATCGACTTCTTAAATCCATTTCAAATCTGCTGAAAATTATGCTTCTATAATTGGCACAAGTGCTGCAGTATGGTTTCGACCGTGCACTGTATTGATTGGAAGCAAAGTGAGGAATTATAAGGGAAAGTGTTGGAGTGTTCACCCTATCAAGAGGGGGGGGGGGGCGGTGTAGTGGAATTATAGAAGGAAATTTACATACTTAGCACACAATTCTTATGCATTTACATCTCACACCAAAACTCACATTCAGGAACACTGCACTTTGGTGGGGGGTGGAATTATAGAAGGAAGTCTACATACTCAGCACACAATTCTTATGCATTTACATATCTCACATTCAGGAACACTGCACTTTGGTGCTTTAAACCTATACATGAAAAAGTGTATTTCACTTTTAAAAAGTGACAATAGTGCTATTTTTTATGTGAAATAAAGGATAGGTGATATTAAAGATTTGAGTACTATGTGAGTAAATATGAAAGTTTAGGTGTGAGATATGTAAATGCATCATAATTATGTGGTATGTATGTATTTCCCTTTGTCATTCATTGATCATTAGTCTATGAGGACTTTCTCCACCATTCCTTGATTTTGGTCCAAATATAAGGAGTGAATTTCTTTCACGCAAGAAATTGCATGAGGTTGAAACTCAACACCTTTTAGGCACGGCTTGCGAGGAGGCCTATGAACTGTTAATTGTTTAGAGCATCATTTCAATTAAGTCAGCGTACCTGGAACAAAAAGAAAATAAAAGCGATCTACCAGCACATCTTTCAATGACAGAACAACTCAACAAGAACAATCATAATAATCAAAATAAAGCATATTAAATCAGACCTACATATAAATTTTTAACGAGAAAGAAAATGCACTTTAAGCGATGCAACACATCAAAAAATATAATAGATGTAATGAATGCTCGCTTAATCCTTGCATGTGCATGTAAACTAGTTGTTTAGCACTTGTCATTAAAAAAACCATTTAATACTAGGAACAATCCAGAGTTTAAATAATGAGAGAAAAAAAAATTATGGTCAACTTTATTCGAATAGAAGTTACATATTCATAATTTTAGAATAATTTTTTTTATAAAAGTATTGTCAACTTTAAATCAACTCAATAGAGCATTTTGTAAGATGTGCAAGTGTTTTATACACTCGAACAAAGGACTTGGGTCTGGTCATTTTGACTCCCAACTGATCTAAGGATCATGATGAGTAGCTACTTATCAGGTCATCTTATCCAAAACAAAAGATTGTAAGACTCAACCTAACAGGCCATTGTACATTCAAAACATTAAGACTTAGACATGCCCCTTTAAACCTAAGATTATAAGATCCAATGTCTTAGGCATCTCTAACAAATGTAATAATACATCAAAATACACCTGTCATAATTTAAAATTAAATAAAAAAAAGTTCTTACTTCTTGCCTTACAACAAATGTAAACTTCATCCTACTTAAAGAGCCAACATAAAGTCAACAGGCCAGTCAAATTTAACCAAAAAAGCTATCACTATAAGGTAGTATAGTAAGAAACGTTACCAGAATTTCCTCTAAAGATCCATCATATGGTCATTCCAATGGCTATAAGCATCCACCCTAATTAATTTAGACCAGCATAGTTCCAAGAAGCCCATTAAATAAAAAATTGGGAATTCCAATTAATGTCAGCACCTTTTCAAATTAAATTTGGATCAAATCCCAAGTTAACAAGACTATCAATCAAAACCAAACCCAGAGATTAAATCTCACGTGTATCTTAGATGCTTCTTTAATTCAAATTAAAACTCATGGAAAACTGAAACCCATGTCCTGCTTTGAACTCTGGCTGGTTACATCCAATACCTTTGAACCACAAGCAACCTTGTTTTGTGCCCTTAAACTATTCAATGAAACTAGAATGACCGACCCTATGCTAGTAAAGAAGCTGATATCAATTTCGAAAGCAAGCCTTCGCCAAACATATTTTCACCCTAGTCAGCTTGGGATACATGGGAAGAGGCATCCTAATGTTGTTTATCAAGCACAATGAAAGTTAGAACTAAAAATCCTTTAAAGTTTCTGATTGGATCCGTTGATAACTCTGAAATAAGAAAACCATGAGACCTTGATCCAGTTTATCTCTCTCCAAATCTTTCATTAAATTCGTGTTTAACTACCAATTCTAGAACTAAAATTTAAGCATAAGCATCCTCAATTAAGAATGCACCCATAAGAAGTCTCAACCCATATTTAAATAAACATCGATCAAATATTAAAGGAAATCTAGTTAAAATAAAATCTATCTCGAGGAAAATTTCTCCCAAGTACTGTCATTTAAACATCAAAAAGGTTGAAGAATGGGAGTTTGCTTTTACTAACAGATCAAAAATATTTGGAAGATATACAATTTAGAATGACAAATGTATGATAGAAAAGTATTTCTATGCATGATGATTTGAACGCATCAAGATTACTTTGACCATAGTACCATTAAGACCCATAAGCATCCACAATCCAGCAATACATTTTCCAAAGATGCTAGGAAAAAAACTCATCTAATGACCACCCCTCTACCGAAGCATGAGACTGTGGGCTTTAATTTGTAGCCTTTCTGCTTTGATATAAATTGAGGCAGATCATTGCACTATTTACTCCAATCGTTAATTTACTTCACATCCAAACAAGTAAAGAGTTTAACATCTAACTTGTAGGCCTTTCTGATTTAATCAAGAAACAAAGTTTTGAGCAAACTAAACATATTGGAGTCTAGCGAAAGCAGCATGGCCTCAATAGTGCATACCTCAAGTTTGAAACATCTCGACTGTTCAGCAGCAAGTTGACCACGGAGAGATTGGAGCTCCTGCATGATAGGTTCATGAAAAGTTCAGACCCACCAGATAGTGGATGGTTATCTTGTCAATAATACTCATTTTTATCACAGATAGGCATGTATAATTTACAAGCATGTATTCATCTTGTCGATAATCTTACTTAATTAAGCATAATCTAAAGGTTGACTAAGGCAGCATGCAAGGAAGACATTCATCCTATGTTTTTCTATGGCAAATAAAAGCATGATATGAAACAAAAAACAGAACCGGAGACAAAGGTAAGAATGGAGATTGTTCAAAACAATAGCCTGTTTTAATTTCAATAATCTCCAATCACTCTTGTCTCATGCATGCTTTTCCTTTTTTTTTTTTTTTTTTTTTTTTTTTGCTAAAATATGTGATAACGGATTTACACAGAATGGAGTCAACATAAATGCCCACTATATTATACTCATGCAGCACTCAACATATATGATTGGAATGAGAATTTATAAAATCCGAACCAAACTAAGTTGAATGAGGATAATCATGATGATGAAATAATAGACAGGGAAGCCTATAAACTAACATTCAAACACACAAAGGACCATTTTTCGATACCACATATCAGCAAAACTTTAATATATGACTAAAACAGGAGAAGGACATTTAGGATGGTTCATATCAAATAAGATATCTAGCTCCATAATAATTCATATCAAACAAAACACCATGATACCCTGATAAGCTTCCCCAGGATCCTGAATATATAGGGTCTGAGATGGCAGAGCACTCTAAAAGGTTCCCAGAACAATAGAGAATTATGCAGATGAACCTATTTGCTCATTTGGTTGCTTCTAGATAAAAAATATTTTTTAGAAAATAATAATTGTAGCTGAACTCATCTTGTAAGTGAAAGTCAACCATGATATTTGAAGAAATTTGAAGGTGCTTTTAGAATCTAAAATCAATAAGAAGGTGCTTTTAGAATTTAAAATCAATAATGGCTTTAAACTATCCAACTAATGATAGAGCTTAGTAAAATCATCATCTTCGAAAAAAATATTTCTCAACTTCACCGGGAAAATAAAAAAACAGCCCTGATACTGCTAAATCTTCAAGGCAAAGTAAAAAAAATAAAACGAAGCATGCCCTTGAAATCTCCATAATCTTACTCACCGCTTCAGTTAGCTCTTGTTTAAGTTGGAGATTATGCAACTGCTCTAGTTTAGAATAGGAATGATGATTTGCTTTTCCTCATCTTGTACGTGAAATGAAATCATGGAGACGAGGAATTTTTAAGGTGTTTTTAGATTTTAAATTAGTATTGACTTTTAAATATTACCAACCAAATAAGGGAATCCAGTAAAACACCATTTCTGAAAACATATTTCCTCACTTCAAGGAACCAAATCAGACTTAATGCTGCTAATCTTCCTGGCAAATTAAAGATAAATAAAAAATAAAAAGATAACTAAAACTAAACAGGCATACCTTTGAAATCTCCACATTCTTAGTCTCTGCTTCAGCTAACTCTTGCTTAAGTTGGAGGTTCTGCAGCTGTTCCCTGTTGAGAGTAACCTCCAATTCTTCTTTCTCCGCCTTGAGTGCAGTGATGATGTGTTCGCCAGACTCCTCAGTCCTCATATGCTGTAAATTTTTATTCAGTAATCCAGAGCATGTCAAGATAACAACACTATAACAATTAAGAATAAAATTTAATCACTTAGTTCTTCTAATGCGGAAACTTCAAACCACTTGTAAAGTTTTTTTTTTTTTAGAAAAGCATGCACTTCAAGAAAATACATTATAACCTTTGGTACGACAACAAATCTAATAATTCATTTAACCAGTTAAAAGCAAATCATTTCACGCTTCTTATTTATGGAGAGAGAAAAAAAGGTACACCAAACCAACCGTATCATCATGTTTTTTTTACTACATTCTACGCATATTTTATCATCACCACATTTTATTGTCTATAGTTTGTATAATTAGAAAAGCAAGTTCAAGATTTTCTTCCAAATCATGATAAGGCAAGAAATTATTGATACTTTATTTTGTCTTACCAAAGGTCCTGAATCAACATTATCCATCATAATCTCTGTTATCTTTCCATCTTGGGTTGCTTCTGACTCGGGTGCTACATCCCTGCCAACATTTGTGGATGCGATAACCACAGCCATACTGTCTGATGTTGGCTTGTCAAATATCTTGGACTGCAAATCTGACTTGTAGCTTGGTTTAAGAACGTAAACCTAGCAAAATGAAAAGAACTCAGGGAAGTAATAATAGTTTAAGAGAAACAAAAGTCAATCATAATCATAATTTACCTCATTGCTGTAACGCCCATTATACCCTCCAAATGAAACAAGATAATCTTCCCCATTGCATGTGCTCAAAACCACACTTAGACCCTATCCTCAAAGTTGTTAATCCAATCATCAGTAGTTAACAAAATCAAACAATTACAGATGAACAGTGATATGGAAAGCTTAAGCAACTGTAAAATATAGCTCTCTAGCACAAAAGCATCCTTTATTAAGTTAGCTAACCTCATGCTGAGTCAATTCCAATGTAACACTAATTAAAACAATACAAACTGGAAGATTTTAACAAAAATGTAATTTCCGAATGATGCAGATGCATTTGATGATAACGAAGAATTGGAGGGGGTCAAGAAAATGCAACATACTTTGTCTCTACCATTGTTTTTCAAATCAAAACAGGGTTGATATTATCATGTAAACGTAACTTAGTTTGATCCACTTTTACAGATTGTTCTTTTACAATATAACCAAGTCACCATCTGTTGATGAGGAACTTCTTAGTTAAAGATGTTGTGTGATGCAGCGTAATGAATAGCATTAACAATTGTACAATGACCAAACAGTTTTCAATCACAATAATAGTATAATAAAGATCAAAATAAAGTTACACATTCCTTTTTTGTTTTGTTAAGTACTTTTATAAAAAAAGGTAGATAAGACAGTAATAGTGAGGTATCTTGGTATATTTTATTTGTGGATGTAATATCTCCTTTAAGAATGAATAAAAAGTAAAACCAAAGGAAAAAAAAATAAAAATATAAGGAGCTTTAAATTAAGAAAAGAAAATTGAGTACATAATATCCAATTTTAATGAATGTGAATGATATTTATCAGTCATTATTATTTAAAGATCAACTGATACTTAGCTGAAATAAACTTAATCATCTTGAGTCCACACGAACGAATAGGGATAAACATAACAACAAAATATCTACATCTCAAATTGGGTAACTAAAATAAAGAATCACAATAGGAGTATTAAGAGTTTCAAGGAAAAATAAAAATAAACTTTATAAATAAATTCTTTTAATCAAATATACTAAGTGTTAGGCTACAAAAAGGTCACTAATAGCCAAGTATTACATATTTTAGATATTTCAAAATATTAATATCAATGTGAGCTAAAATTGGATGTATCAGGATCTAGGAACAATTATTATGAAAAGATGGAAATAGAAGTAATAGTAAATGGAAAAAGCCTTCTCTCATGTACCTATGGTGCGCTTAAGTTGATATTGAAGCTAATGCACAAGGTGATAAGTGGCACCATCTGCACAAGCCTAAGAAAAATGAAGTGCTAAAAAGAAATAAACATATCTCTTTAAAATGATTTTAAGTATTGTAAATGAAATTCTATCATCACATTGAAGTAGCAAAAAAAAAAAAAAAGAATTTTTCAAATTTTGTTGCATTCTAAAACAAAATTCATGGTAAATAGACTATCTAAAGTATATTAAACATTTAAACTATTTGAACCTTAAGCATGCATAACATAGAAATAATATAAAATTTGTTACCATCTATTCGATCTTTGTCAGCATTCATGTAGTCTATTCCATCATTACATTCCTAGCCCCTCATCTCTTCCTTCATCTACAATCACTCATCTTCTCCATTCTCAATTTTTACTATAACAGAACTTGTAGCTCCTATACCTATAATTTTTCTGACTCATTTCTAAGCACATGGCCTAGTATATATACCCTCTAAGCCCTTTGCATGACCTCATTGCTTGCGTTTAAAGCATTATCATCCACTCTTCAATGAAAAAGTCACAAGCCTCAAAACATGGAGCCTTAATGAAAGGTGCTCTTCTATGAGTGCCTTAGTAATGGGGCCCAAATGAAGGTATATAAGGAGTTATGGCCTCTTTTTGCCTTATACAATGTTAGGTTTGTGTCACACTCACCTTCAACATCATTGATTTAGATATAGACAATGATGGGATAATGATGTATCAATAAGAAGCACATAAAATAATAGGAAGGACTAAAAAAGAGACTGAGTGAAATAAATATAACATAACTAGAAGTTGTGCAAAAAGATTTCTGAAAAAGGTAAAAACCACATCATATAACACCCATCAGGAATAAATGTATAATAAGAATTCACAAAGCCAACCCTAGGTACTTGAGATAAGGCTACAGAACAATGCATGAAATGCCCTTATGGCTTATGCTATAATTTACAAAATTTTATAACTGCAAAATAAAATTTACATGTTTCAAAAGGAAAAAATAGAAATGCCAGGGATCTGCTCAAGATCATTCTACATAAAGCCTTCTAACTCTTCCTATTTCACATGCAATGGAAAGCTCAATTTTAGAAGAATGAAAGGATAAGGAAGAATGGGAAAAAAATTTTTGAGAGCCAAAAACTAAATTTAGCAGTTATTCAAAAAAAAAAAAAAATTTTTGTATGAAATAAAGATAAAATGTAATGTTAAAAAGCATATATAAACAATTGGAATAAGTCAAATAAGGCAAATAAGGCAACTAAGGCAAATAAAGTTGATGATATATATATATACATGCATACCATATGAAAAAAGAGTGACTGAGAAACAATGGATTTTTTAAATAGAGGATTATGCAATGATAGAGGAAGTTAACTAAATTTGGATTGTGGCAAGCTGAAGAATTGAAAACATTGTAACAGAGAATGAACAGGCAACAGTAAGAAATAACAAATGATCTAAGCTTATGATGCCAACGGTATGGTGGTACCTCACTGGCAAGGGGTACTCGTCCTTTTACAGAGGTAACAACCGACCAAACTAATGCTGACATGTGAAGTACCAAAGTTTCAGAAACTCCTGCACAGTATTATACAGCAATCAGAAAAGCTGTTGAGGATGAAAACATGTCTAAAAAAAAATTTAAATAAAAAATCTGGATTCTTAAATTCCAGGTAAATAATATTTTGTTCAAAACAAACAACTTGCATTGTTAAAGTAATTTTTTGATAAACAGCTTTACATAGAGGGACATGAATATTAAGGATTCTTATCAATAAAGACAAAGGGAAAAGAACAAACAAAGATTAAATCTTTCCAACAACGCCAGTGCCATTATGTAAGTCCTTCAACAACAGCAGCAAAATGAATAAATCATTTAAACATTTAATTTTGAACATTATCAAGAAGATGAAATTGCACATAGTAAAAAAAAAAGTGGACGTATATTCTTTCTTTGCATAATTTTATTATAAATATTTACAAGAAGTCTACGATGGTGCTTGCACTGTTTGGCATCTCGATGGTACCAGAAAACTGCACGGTAACTTAAACCTGCATTGCACTAGTTCATTTCTTACTTCAAGTTCCTTACATATTTAGACATATTGATCCATAATTCGGAGAGTATTTCAATATTGTACGATCATTTGGATTGAAAAGGAGAGTAAATGGTTTATTGCGTTAATCACCAATGCAGATGACAAGAGATTAATAACTCGCAGAAATTGAGAGGGACGGAGCTTGGTAGAAAGAAATTATAGAAAATGAAGATGAATCAATCACTATTGGGGCATATTTTTGTTGGAAGTGAAGGTTCTCTCGTTATTTTCCACATTCAAAAGGCATTAAAACCTCCTTGAAGGATGTAATATGTTAGAGAAAGGCTTTCAGACGGACCTTCTAGCTCAATAGTAGTAACAGTAGGGGTGGTAGCAGGTGGCGGAGAATGTCCAGATGAATAGGCTTTAATTTATCCTCGAATTCAGTGTGCAATGGCTAATCCAGATAGGGTAGCACATGAAATTTCATTCAAAATTCAGAATAAATAAGGTACAAATATCTCATCTATTACTCCCTATAGGGAAACTATATAATATTAGGGAATAAGGCATATAATATCACAATAGATCTCTTCCTTGCTTGAGGGAGAGCCACGCCCAATCAGTTTGCAAATCACTCCACCTCTTTCCGCTGGCTTAATGTGTAACCAGCAATGCTAGCATAATCCCAATGCGGCAAGATGCAAGAAAAAGAAATGAAAGCATCCTCGTGGCTGAAGCAAAGGACTCGTAAAATCATTAAGTGTTGTTGGGAATCTCCTGGATCAGATCAACCAAGCCCCTGTAAATTAGCATAGAACAGATACTTACCAAAAAATCAGTTAAGGTTTCATAGCCAGCAGTCCTGAAGGCAGTTTTTTCACAAGATTTTAAAGTGAACAAGGCCTTTAAACATTAAATGCAATAAAAAACAGAATTTTCACAAAAATGGAGAGCATGGTGACCTATAAAGCCCCTTAAATGATTCCAGTGAAATTTTCGGGTCTATTTCAAAGTAGACAATTTTCATTTAGTTTCATACATTATTCAAGTTACATAATATTTCAATATAAATATTTTATGTAGACTTCATTATTGGAAGGCCTTGCTATCATACTGAAATCAAGGGTTGGTGAATCGGCAGCCCAAATACAAGAATTTTGTCAGTATCTTCTCCAAACGTTGTAGACTGTTTTCATATCTACTTTATACAAAGCAACATTTTATCTTACATTTCCACAATCTTCTTCATAAGCCACCAGGGCCTCAAAAATAAAGAGACGAAAATATAAGTATGATAATACAATAAACAAATCTTTCAAAAGTCCAGCTCAATGAAATGACTGTGTCATACTAATAAGTGATCTTTTGGATGATCTCAACAATGACATCAACTGTAAAATATGTAACCTTGTCATCTCGAAAAACTTAATAACATGATATACTGCATATAAGAACTCATTAATCTGCCACAAATACATATCCGGTGCAGAATATTTATACAAAAAAATGGTATCACAGAAAGCCATGACAGAAAAAAAGCCAATTCAACTAAAACTATTAGAGCTCAAGTTCAAGAAGTAGGAAATTTGTATGATTACCATTTTTATTATCACCACCCCCGACAACAAACCAATTTTCCCCCACTTTTATTCCAGCATGACCAGCTCTCGGACCAGGAGTCACACCCTGCTGTTTCGGCCTTGACCATTCCATCTGCAATATTGTTTGAATAATAAAGTAATAAACAAGACCATTTTGAACTGGTCTGGTCAAAAATCTCAATATTGAAAAATAGCATTCTTACGTTTTGCAGGTCAAGGACATGAAGATCGTTAAAGCACGTAGCATGAGAACCCCCACCAAATATAAGAAGGTACCGCTCTGCATGGCAAGCAGCAGCATGGTCTGACCTTGGAGAAGGTGGTGTGCCTCTGAGAAGGAGTAAAAAGAAAATTGACAAAAAAATCATAAATCCATTCTACATTTATGTAATATATGGATTCCATTTTTATCAAGATTACTCATGCTAAGAAAAACTAGAAAGAGAAAATATTTCTTTTAAAGTGATGCAAAAACATGTGATAAATGATAATCAAAAGTTCAGAAACACAATATTGTCAAATACTTAATATAAACAAAAATGTGAACAATATCAGCAAGCTGTTGCAAGAAAGGCAGAGAATGCAATTTTCTTCAAGTTACAGCACCATAACATAAATGATAAGTATCAGGATATTTTAGGTAGTGATTACTTAATAAGATGTGAGATAAAAGAGAATGAAGCAAGTTAGTCAATGGTTCTAAAAAGAAATATTTTCACAAATATTTATTTCACCATTCATATTATGTATACTGAATCCAAAATCTATGCAGAGAAGAGCTAATAAATGGATATAGTTGATTTAATCTTTTCTTTATATTCATTTCATCTATAAGTATGCTTAAGCAATAAAGAGGTGAAAACAAATATACTCCTGCTTACATAGCATCTATATCATCCCAAGTCATGGTTTCCAAGTCAAGAATGTGCAGATCATTCAATAGAGATCTTTTTGCATCTTCCCCGCCAAACATAACTAAAGTTGTTCCAACGAGGGTCACTGATTGACCTCCACGAGAAATCTGCATGGAAGAAGTTTAAAGAAAGATGAGAGCTAACGTTCTTATTGTGCTTTCGTCTTTGTTATATAAGCAAATATTTAACCATCACAAATGAATCGCTTCTGTTTCAAACTAGAGTAAGAGATGAAAATGGGATATAATTGTAAATAAAAAAAAGGAGAATAATATGTACTCAAAGAGGAAAACTACCGGTGGCTTCCCGTAAGTCCTTAAATTGGACCAGGTCAAAGTTTGTGGATCAAATTGCTTAACTATCACCAGAATGAAAAGAAGTTATTCAACAGGAAGCTGAGAGCAGAAAGATAAATTGCTAAAATATTAACTTGAAAGTACATGACACCTGTGACAGTCTCAGAAGGATCTTTTGTATGACCCGCAATGGATAGAATCTTCTCATCCCAAGAAATCTGAATCAGAGTAAAAAAAATTAAGTTCTATAAGTTACCAATCAACAGAGATAACAGACTGTGACATAATTTATTACTAGCAACGAAAATGGCATGGGCTTGAATTCTCCATTAATTACCAGGGAATGCCCAGCGAGAGGAGCAACATGTGCTGGTGTTGATGATTCTGACGGCCCTTTTGTCACTTTAGCATCTATCTTTGACCACATCAAACTTTTCAAATCAAGGACCTTTTCTCCAAGTTAAGGAAAATATATTAATAAGGTTTCTTTAAGATTAAAAAAAAATGTAACAGAATATGAATCAATAATCATTTCCAACAATTTATACAAAATTTCTCTACAATAAGGTTACAAGTCAATACCGCAACACAAATAACTAGTTTTGATTCTCTGCAGAATTTCTACAAATAGAACATGTATACAATGTTATACCTGAAGATCATTGAGGTATCGGCCATTGTGATTTCCACCAAAAATATACATCTTATCCTTCACAACAGCGGCTCCATGCTGCAAAGAATTAAATATTTAATGCTGAGGCACCACAAAAAATAAAAATCATGTCACTAAATAAGGATTTCCATTTCCATCCGTTACACCTGATATCGAGGCTTTGGTTGTTGTCCAGAAATTGGCGGTGCGACCCATTGATCATAAACACCAATAGCACCAAGACCTTCCATTATAATATCTTTGTCCTGGGTCTCAATAAGACCACCATTTTCTCTTGAAATATGTTTAGGTTCTGAAAAGGATATCTCATCAGGACTAGCTGTCTCACCAGATGATTCCACTTTTGGTTTCTATATGAAAGTAAGAAAAAAAGGTATCCATTCATAAGTAAATAGTTTTTTTATGCATGGAAAAATATCATACATCACAACAGATCGGGCTTAGGAAAAAAAAAACAACAATTATCTGTACTATTTATATTAGTACAAGTGTTGCCTGGAAAAAAGATTTTCATATTACGCCACCTGCAAATAACAGGACATAAGAACACTGATAATACTTGCAAATATCTATCTGTGGTAATTTATTCTTCTGCAAGACCCAAGAAATCCAACTCAAACCATTCTAGTCTTTATTACAAAAATTTATGCACTTGTAACATAAAGAAAGCACAAAAAACGTCAAACCAATAAAATGTAAACGGATGAACATAAACTGGGAGTATTTGGTTTTTTTTTTTTATTTTTTAAAACTGGAAGAATTTGGTTTAAAAAAGTAACAATATCTATTAAAATGATATTTTGAAATGCATAACTACCCTTTGTTCATCGTGAAATAAATAATCAATTCAATGACCAAATATTAGCAAAATGATATCTGAGATGATTTGAACAATAGGTGATGCCAGATGATATTTTAGAATTGATGTAGCAATTTCCCAACCTCATTAATAAGGCAAAATTATATTTAGATATATCCACAACTGACAACTAAAATAACAAATCAAACATAACACTTTAATAATGAATTTGATATGAAAAAAAAAATTAAAAAAAGACTTGCACTTTTATGTTATTGACATATATATATATATTATAACTAACTAATATATTTATTTATTCCTTAAATTCTTTAATCAATACAGCTTGCTAACAAGGTTGCTTAGATTAGAAAACAAATTTACTGGCACAGCCTCACAAAAATTTTTGCACTCCCTAAGCTCATCCTTTCCATGCTTTGTTGGTCTATCTCCTCAATCCCCCTTGCAAAAATCTCATGTGATCATCACGGTAAGATTTCTGTAGTTACGCCTTTTAATTCATGTTGAGCCCAACATATTTGTTAATATACATCCACTTAGTGGGACAAAGGCTAGTTGTTGTCGTAACATCCACAGTTCATGCTTATTTCTTGAGTTGATAGCGGGAAGCGCACATCAATTAGAACACTTGTACAAACCAAAAAGCAGCGTGAATTAAAATGTTTTTGTTCAACAACCATGTACATGAACACAGGCGTGAATTAAAATGTTTTTGTTTAACAACCATGTACATGAACACAGCCGTTTTGAAAGTATGAGGAGGATTTGTTATGGCAGTTGTCCATATGAATATACTGTCATTAAAACATGCACATGATTTTGCATTTTGAATTCATCATTGATCGCATTATACCCAATTGCATTTGTTGATTTATGAATTCAGCTATGATTATTAGAACCTTTAATCTTTGTCGAATATTTAAAGCATTACGAGTGACTTGTATTTCACATCATTTGGTTCGAGTGGGCCACAGGGTTCATGCTCCGCCTAGAAGTAAGAACTCTCCTTAATATATTTTTATTTCAAGTATAGTTCCTTGAGCGTATCCTTGAGAATATTGAGCATTCAAGAGAGATCCTAGTGCAATAAGGAAGTTCTATGCTCGTATGCGAGCTTTCAAGTTCATTGCAAGTCTCTTATATTTTAATTTCCAATTCTAATTTTTGTTTGTTCTAGTTCTCATCAATTCTTTTAATACATGTATATTAATTTGATTATTTATCTAGTGTCATCTTGAAAATTTCTTTTTAATTCCGGTCCTATTTTGAGTCCAAACAATCATTTATTTTCTTTATATATTTCAATTCTCATTATTAAAAATTCTAGCAACAACCAGACATCTCCCTTCTGTAGGCAGCATGTACCTGCATAAAAAGGCATGGTGTTTAGAACGCAGCTATATATTTTACTCCCACAAGGCTTAGTCTTCATGCACCTGCATGAAAATTTTGCAAACAAAATTTCCCCGTTGAGTCAACAAAAATACCTATGGATACTAATCTTTGACAACTAGGGTATCCAGTTCCTTGTGCCAAAAAATGTATACGATTCTTCCCGCCACCACACTAGAAAAAAAAAAAAAAAAAAATTTAAATGTGTATGGGGTATTCAATTGCACCAAAAAAATTATGCAAGCAGCAAGTCATGTCAAACTTATTTTTTATGTTATACCAATGTGTGGGGTGTTGATGAGATGACTTACTGCACGACAAGCATGCGAGATCGAATGCATGATCCTTTTTCTCTCTTTTATTATTTTTTTTTCTTTTTTATTTCTTTTTATTTACTTCTTTTTCATCTTTTCCATTTTTTTTAACTCTCCATTTAGAGAGAGAAAAGGAAAGAGAATTATTTAGAGATAGAATGAGAGAGGAAGAGAGGGAGAGTGTTGGAGAGAGGATGAGGGGAGCTATTTAGTAGTATGATTTGAGCAGGATTTAACTAAAATCCTGCAAAAATGCAAATTGACAACTTTAAAATCTCATTTCCCCTCTGTTTTACCTTAAATGGCTGTCTCATGAATTCCATTCTTTTGCATGCCACTGGTCTCGTTGATGCCTTCTTCCAACGAGATCCCATGCGCAACTTCCTGCTTCTCTTGCCACAGCACCCAAATAACGCACAGGACTCTCCGACACTGGGAATTGTAAATTCCATTGGTGCAATGAAACTTAAGATTAACTAATTTTGCCTAAATAACGCACGTCTCTTCGACACTGGGGAAACTCGAACTGATCAAATAGCAGTCAAATTTCAACACTCAAACAGCATGTCCCGGTCGAGTAATGTTTAAGGATCATCTTTAATACTTGATGAACTCGAGTTACTTGACATGACTTCCTCGACATCTTCACATGCTCAACTGTACCCAACGAGATCCCATGCGCAACTAATCCCACGAACAACTGTCATTACTTCCTCGACATCTTCACATACTACTGATCTCAATGATGCTTCTAAAGAGAGCTTACATCCCAACTTCTTTCTTCACACAAGCGAAACCAGTCAAGGGCTGCTACAGTGAGTGCTAGTCACACTTTCCAGCTTATGTCAATGATGGTTCTGAGATGGGAGCTTAGAGGGAGGATCAAAGAGATGAGAGCAGGCAAAGGGGGAATACTAAGAATTGGGGTGGTGGAGGTGATAAAACTTTAAGTGGGTTGCAGGTTATCAATAGTTTGAAAGCCTAAATGCAAAAGTTTACAATAAAATAAATAATTAATATTTTTTACAGCATGCATTTTGAGCAAAGTAATTATCAAAACATTAGCCACCTAAATGATACCAAGAAGACGGAGCCTAACAAAATTTAGAAACAAAAACATAATATATTCATAAACAATTTGGCCTCCGCATGAGTTTATGCATTTTCCATTGACTGCATTCATTAAAACAACTGAACAGCATACTTACGGGCATTTCAAACTTATGTTCTACAGTAGGTTCTGGGACCCTCGAATACCAAGCAGGATCTTCCTCCTGCAAAGAATGCTAGAATATCAGTTATCTATATTTAATGCAAGTTATAGAGAGCCTATGTTTTGACTTGCACCTCCAAAATTTTCACAAACAGACGCATTGCCTCTGTTGAAGCCATGTTTCCTAGTCCATTCCAACTGTAAAGACAAACAAATAGTGCAAAATAATATATAATCAAGGCAATGTTAATCCAAACAAAATATTAAACAATCCTGCATTATCACATTCAAACATACTTTATTGAAAATTTCAATTATTTTAGCCACAAAAGCATAATTACTGCAGCACGACTTACCACAAAAAAAAGCACTTCGTGTCTACCATGATGCCTCACGCAGCATGTTTGGTACATGCCCATCAATGACATTAATTCTATATTACTACCAAACATATGGGAATTGGGTCTGATAACTCAGAAATCATATCATTTTTTATTACGAGTTGAGCATTAGATCCATGATTTAAGCATTAGGCCATGGAAACATTGAGAGGATCATGTTTGCTGAAGTTTTAATAGACCGATGTCTCCATAAATATTGAAGAGAAAGTAGCAAAGAGTCCATGGGCATTATTGGATCATCAATAAGACATGCAAGAAATCAAAACATCAAAAATTGAAATATTAAATTAAAACTCATATTATAAGAGAATAATAATGATGGATTTGAAAACATATGTGAATAAACTTGTTTTAAATTTTAATTCAGAATCGGGATAATTTAAAAAAAAAAACATCTTTTGGTTTGACCATATCTAATTTGTTTATAGATAAGCAGTACTATTTTCAAGGAGTTTGTTTAATAGTATATTAGATTTTTTTATCTTATGTTATAATTGCCATTATTTGTGGTTGTAATGTGTGAGTGCCACAGGGTAAAAACATTTGTAGTAGTAACAGACACAAGCGCTGGATTTTCAACAGCTGCATTTGACATTCAATAGTTTAAAATTCATATCGGAATAATACTTGTACTTCTAAAGGATTTACGTAGATGTGTTTACATAAATTTGGCTCAGTTTAATTTCCATTAGGTGTTGTTCTTCTTTCACTGTACAATAGTTACAGCTCAATTGGTACAAAAAGTACTATTTACTTTCCTTTCTTATGTTGTTTATAATTACTCACATATGAACTTTTCTCTTGTGAGTAATAGCAGATTTAAATCCATCTTATTTCATCACATCCCATATTGCTTGAGTGTGCTGCATTTCAAAGCCGCAGTGTGATAGCATTATTAAGCTCAAATCAAGTTCAACAAACAAATCCCACGTCAAATCTACATTATATCAAACCAACTGACAGGTACACATGGCCAGGTTTATGGAATGTTTAGGATAGCTTGAACCACTGTTTAAAATTTTGCAATTTGAGGCACACCTCAGCAAAATTCTAAGGAAAAATAAGTCAAGCCATACCCCGCAAAAAATTCAAATGAGACATACACCTCACGTTGCTTGAAATACGCCTTGAGGGAGTGCCTCTCCTAAATTCGGTTGACGCATGCACCTCTCGCACTTAGCTTTTTTCCCCTTTATAAGAAGGTTCGACTACAAAGCGAAGCCGCAACTCTCATGCACACAAGAGCTCTCCTGTCCCCAATCGGGCTTTCCAGCATTGTTGCCTGCTTCTTTTGCCATCGGCACCACTACGGATATTGCTTGATACATTGGTTACAGCAATCACTTCCTTCTTCTGCTGCAACCCAGCCTTCTGTTTGAAGACTGTCTTTATACCAAAAAGTTGTAGGCTCCAAAGAGTATACGGGTTATGTATATTTACACTACAACTCTAAATTTTTCAATATTGGCCGCTATGTACTCTCAAATTAGTTAAATCATTATTATGTACTTTGTTAATGCAACATATTTAAGTTAATAAAATTTGATTTTATTTTCTTTATTTGATTACTATTATGCCTTGAATTCCAAAATTCCCAAATAAACAAATCTCAGTAAAAATAATCACATTTTCAACATATTATTAAGAAATCTAAATTTAAGGGGTGACAACAAATATTTTAAAATAATTTTAATACTAAAAAACTTATTATCTATTTTTGAATTACAAATTACTTCATATATATAACTAATTAATTAATTATATATGTGTGTGTGTGTGTGTTCAACTATATATATTACCATATAATTTTAAAATGTTATATTTAACTGATAATGAGGTTAATAGTTTTATATTAATTTTTACTGAAATTTTATTTCTGAATATTCATGTTCTCTTTTATACATCAGAAACAAATGACTAGAAAAAACAAATTCAGGACAAATCTCAATAAATATAATATTGTAAGTTGTTACATGATTTTTTACACCACGCAATTTTTCATTTTTTTATCATACTAGGATGTTAATATATATTTCTTTAATATATATATGTAAGTTATGATGCTAATATATTATTTTTTACCCCTTTGTTATAAATTACATAATTTTCAAATTGTGAGAATTACGCCTCAAACTGTCTCGAGGCTTAGCTCATGAACAAAAAAATGTCTTAATACTCAATTGCACAATTTTAAATATTGGCATCAATTTTTTATAAGAGTGGTTTTAAAATTGTTTACAAAAAGCAACCTTTTTCTGAAGCTAATGTGAGCATTATAAATATTTTCTTTTTAGGAAAAGTCAGAGTTATCACAATTCAGCAGATCTGATTTTCAAAAGTAACCATAAAAAATTTTAAAAACAAAAAGAAAATAGAAACCAGACAAATGTGTAGCAACAATCTAAAGCAAAACAATGAAAAAATTGTCCAAAAAAAATGTTTAATGTTAAACTAAATGGTTTTAATGTGATGATGAGCCAAGGTTGAATTAATTTAAGATCAAAACATTAATAACACTGATTAGTATAATCAAGACAAAATAAATGATATGCAATTTACTTATACAATTTTTTGAATGAGAAATGGGTAACTCACAATCAATATAGCAAAAGGATCAACCGGTATCAAGATGCATGGAGTCTACTATGTAAAATAAGTTCTAGAACCAAAAGAAGAAGATTAAAATGAAGAAATTTCAAAGCTGATTTGCAACAAAATCAAGAAGACATAAAAACAAATTTTATAAAACTACAATAAACTAGCTATGTTATATAATCCAAGTGGGTAACATATAAATCACCAATGATGAAATTTGGGGTTAGAAAACAGACATTAATGTCATGGTAATATCATGCATCTAAGGAAATGATTTGATTCAAATACTCTCTAATTACTAGCTAATTTCACCATATGCAGTAAACCACTCAGCCATCCAATCCATATTGGATGTTTGACGTCGATACAATCGACTTTTCTAAAACTAGAGTGATTTTAAAAAATTTAAGCTCATCGATCTAAAATAGATTGAATGGCCAAGATGGGTAATCACGCATTACCCTAGTAATCTAAAAGGATTCTAATCTAAAAATAATACAAAAAAAAGGATCCTAATCTAAAATTAGTTATATAAGAGAGAGAGAGAGTGTGTGGGTGTGATAATACAACCTGTATAAAATAAGGTATTGAAAATGAAAATTTAGGTGATTTTGACAAAAAGATGGAGAGCAAAAGATTCACTAAAAAGGTGAAAATATAGTATTACTGTTAATGTGATAAAGATAATGGGTAGATTAAAGTAATGTCATTGGCAATAGAGTAAATAAATCAAGTGTTAACACAATTAGCATCCCATGTAACACTCAACAAAAATGAATTGAGGATTCAGAAAACTAAGGGTCTATTTGGGGCAGCTTAAAACTGCGGCGGCGTTTTTGAAAACGTCGCCTTTGTGTTTGATTTGCACGTTTTGCTTGTGTTGGCCAAAACACCAATTTACAGCGTTCTATTATTTCTATTAGACGCAGATCCCGCGATCCAGCGTTCGACCGAAGCATTTACGCCCCTTCCCTCAAACCCGATCCCCCTAGGGCTCTACCGAAGGAAGTCGTTGCTCTCTGCCGAAGGAAGCCGATGCTAATCCCTACCGAAGGAATCCGAAGGAAGCCACTGCCGAAGGAAGCCGCTCCTACCTCTCCGTTGCTCCTCCCTGCCTAAGGAAACCGCTACTCAGCCCATGTCTCTGCGCTTCTGGTCCATCCATGTCTCTGCGCTACTCATTCCATGTAGTTACTTCAAGAACCAATAAAACATGCACAGCTATCGTGGCTGCCCTGTCATTCCATGTCTCTGCGCTTTTGGTCCATCCACATATACTTTTCTGATGCTTCGTCAATGTTTAGTATCTTGCATCTGCTTCAGACTTCAGTTTTGTAGCTTTTAATAATTCATTTTGAAGCACTTGTTGTTTATGTTGTTATGCATCTACTTCTATTTAGAATTTTGAAACTTGTTTATAGAATGGATGCTTTCAATCCTGATTGTCATTATCCTAATGCTTTGTTGCCGTAAAATTTCCTTTTATGAGACTACTGGAAGTAAAATTTAAGTGTTAGATATGTAAATAAATAGGAATTTGGTGGTATGAGTGTAAAAATGAAAGTTTTGATGTGAGATATGTAAATCCATAAGAATTGAGTGTTGTATATGCAAATGCTCCTTTTTTTATGTGTTGGTTTAATATAGATTTTTTCCCTGATGGAAATTTGAAATCCTCAAATATCCTCTTACCTGATGGGCAGTCTATAGATGGCATGAAAAGTTCAGCGAGGATTGGTGCATATTTGTTTGAAGAATTGTAGATGTGTAGCTTTATTGTTAGTAGATTTGTAGATAGACTTCCTTGAGTGGGGAGTATATCTTTTTTCTCTTTGAACTATTATGTAGTGTTTTTTGGATTTTAGTATATTGGATGTGTTCTATTATATTACTCCTGCGAACAGCTCCATTGTACGTGGCCAAAATAATCATTTTTCCACAAACAACTGCAAATCAGCGGTTCTTAAACCTCAGAAACTAAACAGCGTAACAGTTTATTCAGTTCAGGGGCAAAATGGTCATTTATCAAGAAACAGCTGTAAATCAGCTGTTTTCCAAACGCACAACTTATCAGCAGATTATCAGGATCAGCTGCTTATCAGCAGATTATTCGGATTAGCTGCTTATCAGCAGATTATCAGGATCAGCTGCTTATCAGCAGTTTATTCGGATTAGCTGTTTATCAGCAGATTATCAGGATCAGCTGCTTATCAGCAGAAGTTGGATAAGTTGCAGCTGTCCCAAACAGACCCTAAGCCAAAATAATTGAAATAAAACAGATAATGAGAATGAGCATGTAACAATTGATTCAGCATATATGCATGAAATAAACCATGTCATCTAATTGCTTTGAACTTTAGTAAGTAATAACAAATAAGACAATAAAGAATGCACCACTCATACCATGACCAAACATTTTATGCATGTAAGACCTATACCGTGCACAAAATTCATATAAATGCCAAGTATAAAGATGCATTACGATAGTTTAATATGTCAGAAACACAAATGATGGAAGAAAATTTCAGGTTAATAGTTCACAAAAACCAGTTCAATGCTAAAGTTAGTCTAAGATTTTTTTCCATTTCTTTTAAAAATATAGCAATGGTTGCCCAAGTTGTACAAAAGCTGAATTATGGGTTATCATAGGAAGATCGCAATTTTCAAGAGAAAATAACTCAACTCCAACTTGACTATTCAACAATCATAATTTAAGAAGTTGTTCAGTGGCTTGACAGCTCGAATGCTAATTGAAAATTATTGTTCTTGCATTGGATTTATCTTAATTGACAATACTAATTCAGCAAGTTCAATATTAAACATGAACCACAAATTCAGCATAAACAAAAACTCATTTTTGAATATAAATGCTGAACCAGACTATCTCCAGCACATGTGGGTAGTAAGAGAGACCATGTTTAGTTTTTCCTTAGTTGTGTCGGTAATGAAATGCCTTCTCATTTAGTTAAAAACAGTCTATGAGGCAATGCCTTTTCTTTTAGTTAAAAACAGCGCTTCTCCCAAACACTTCAGGCTCACATACAAAGCCACCCGGCATGCATTCTTTTCAGGGTTTTGAAGCATACACGCCCATATCGCACCCAACTTGCATGATAGATACCAGAGTCATATTATGCAGAAGGAGTACATAACTCCCTTTGTTCATAATTTTATTAGAAAATTTTCACAGCTCCTATAAACAAGAATTGCAGGATCAATAACTCTGAAAGAAATCCAGCTCATTTCCCAAACAATGATAGATTTACTAACCTAGTCCACTTGCTGTGCTCCACCGGATTCCAAGCTCTCGGTTTCGGAACATTGCAAGGCCCTACTGTCGCCTGCATAAGAAAAACCCATTAAAACGAGCCTCACACCATCATAAAATGCAACCAGATCAACAACTAAACAGCAAAATCCCAGCGCAGTTCTAGGTTGCACCGTTTGGATCTGCATTCAAACTGAAACCCGAAAGCCAAAAATCTGGCCCATTCACCAAAGATCCAATCAAAAACCAACTTGCAAACAACACCTGGATCCAGCAGCAAAAAGAAGAAACCAAGAACAAGACATCGGGGACTAGAAAGAAGCTCATTACCTGTTGGTATAGACCATAGAGGAGAAGAGCAACGTCGTTCTGGAATTTAGACAAAGCGGCTGTAGAAGAGTTCAGAGATCCGCCGAAACCAACGTAGGAAGCGGCTGCGTAGAATCTCTCCGGGTAAGCCAGGCTTGAGGTCGACCTAGCCACCACCGACATTCCGCACGATGTCTCCGCTGAAGATGGCAGAATTTCAGTCCGTCCCGATGGGAGAAAAGGTAGCCGGTGGTACGAGCTGAAGACGAATGGCGGGTCTTTCGTTCTTCTGTCGTGTCAATGGAGCCGTAGATTTATGCTGTAGCGATCACAAGGGTTCTCGGATACATAGTCTTTCTCCACAACAAGACTTGAAATGCATACACTTCAAGACCAACATTCAAGAGTTATAACAAACAAACAAATAAATTAGAAAACATAAAGAATTTATCAATCAATGAACACTTATAGTGTATTTGTCCAAGTCTATTCATGGCATGTACAAACTCTCAACGGCCTTTGCATGCACTAAAATCTTTAGTTATTATCAAAGGAGTCATCAATCAATGAACATGTATGGTATATGTGTGTGGGTCTATGCATGTCTTACATGAACAATGATAGCATTGGAGCACACATATCAATCCCGGCTTTAACAATCTCTAACCGGCACCAATTTATCCTTCAAACTTGGAATAGTTGAGAGCTCTTGATGGCCTCGATACGGTTTAGCCTCTATTTTCTTTCGCCTTTGATCAACTTGAAAAAATAGAAGTTTAAGCCACAACTTTTATGACAACAATCAATAGCTATTCCCGCTTTGCACAATGTGCATGCAACACTATGGTCCGTTTACAAGCGACCATGTTAGTGCAACAACAACATGCACAAATGAACGTGCA